GGTTTAAGGCCTGCGTGCGTGAAAAATTATTTAACTGGGATTCTATCGTAACCAGTGAGGCCCAGCCAGTGTGGCTCAGTGGTCAAATGTCGACCTATGAATCAGGAGGTCAGGGTTCGATTCCCGGGCAGGGCACAGGCCCAGGTTGCCCTCGATCCCCAGTGTGGGGCGTGCAGGAGGCAGCCGATCCACGATTCCCTCTCATCGTTGATGTTTCTATCTCTCTCTCCCTCTCCCTTCCTCTCTGAAATCAATAAAAATACATTAATATATATTTTATATGATGGTCACGGCATTGTGGAAGTAAAAGAAAGGATTAGTGAAAAATACCAATTTGACCGCTCAGTAAATGGCCGCTGTTCTTGCTGGCTGGCTATAATTTATAATCTTACGAAAATAAAAGAAAAATCTGTTTCCAACAAGGAATTTTTCTTACCTTAAGGTCCAGGGCAACGCTGGGTTTTAAAGTCAGCATCGAAGAGAAGAATCATTCACAGCCAAAAATAACCCTAGAAAATCCTTTAAACTCTTGTAAAGTTCAAAGCACGCGTTTCATTTCTGGTCCATGGCGGGGAAAAGAATTAGAACCATTCCCCAAACCTTTCCATCCCCCCTCCCCCCCCCCCCCCGCCCCCGACTTGCATTACCTTTGCGGGGTTCATTGTACCTGTTGTTTCTCATAAAGAGTCAACATATCGGCCTGGCCGGCTTAGCTCCGTGGTTGAGCGTCCAGCTATGACCCAGGAGGTCACGGTTTGATTCCCCGTCAGGGCACAGGCCCGGGTTATGGGCTCCATCCCCAGAAGGGGGCGTGCAGGAGGCAGCCGATCCATGATCCTCTCTCATCACTGATGTTTCTCTCTCCCTCTTCCTCTCTGAAATCAATAAAAATTATTTAAAAAGAGAGAGAGAATCAACTCATTGAGTGTGCTCTGAGAATAAACCCTCTGTGTCACAAACTCTCAGATGCCCGTCTGCCTCCTCCTTCAACCCCTGCGACAGCCCCGAGGTCGCTAACTTAGATGGTTATGCGGTGGATCCGCCACAAAACGTCAACCTTTTCTCCCAAAGTTCCCTCTCTCTCTCTCTCTCTCTCTCTCTCTCTCTCTCTCTCTCTCTCTAACACACAGAAATGCAGAGAATTATCATTCCTCTTTGTCTAAACGTGGGCCTTTTTCCTCAAATCCCGCACACGCGATAGAAAACGAGGAAATAAACCCGGGGGACCACAGGGCCACCCTCTTCCTGACACTCTCCCTCCGGGCGACGCGTCTTCTGAGCCGGAGAAAACGGGGCCACAGTTGCATTCATTGTTCAGTGAGCTCGTCCGCACCGCTCAACCCACCGACAGCAATGAATGTTGATTGTGACCTTTGACCGCCTCGTCTCTGCCCGGGGGAGGGGGCGCCCCGGCGGGGCCCGGCTTGGGTGTCCTGCGGCCGGCGGATTTGGAAGCCGTCGTGCAGGTAGGTAGGTAGGTAGGTAGGTAGGTTGGCAGGTGATGGTTAGCCATAGGGTACAATCAACGGTCGATGGTTTTGACTCTAATTCCAAACTCACCGACAGCGTTGAATGTTCACTGAAGCAAACCTCAAACTCAGGATCCGGCTGATGTCCCGTCTCTGCAGGTGTCGGGAGGGGAGGGGGGTGGGGACAAATAGCAGAGTAGCTTCAAGCTACTTCCAAAGGGAATAAGAACAGCCCGGCCGGTGTGGCTCAGTGGTTGAGCGTCAACTTATGAACCAGGAGGTCAGGATTCGATTCCCAGTCAGGGCACAGGCCCGGGTTGCGGGCTCCATCCCCAGTGGGGGGCATGCAGGAGGCAGCCGATTTATGATTCTCTCTCATCATTGACATTTCTATCTCTCTCTCCCTCTCCCTTCTTCTCTGAGATCAATAAATAAATACATATATATACTATAAGTCTGGTGCATGAAATTCATGCACAGGTAGGGTCCCTAGGCCTGGCCAGCCATAGGGTGACCTGTGGGGTAATTGGGGGGGGCCCCCACTGGCACCCGCCTTGGCTGGCCTGGGGCCTGTGGGTTGGGGGCAGCTCCTGCATTGAGCGTCTGCCCCCTGGTGGCCAGTGCATGTCATAGCAACTGATTGTTCCGCTAGTTGTTCTGCAGTTCAGTCGATTTGCATATTAGGCTTTTATTATATAGGATTTTTTAAAAAGACCATTGTGCATCCCTGTGAGGTTTATTTTAGTTCTGCTCTCTCCTCCACGGGCCTGGGAGACCATCCGGCATTTCGGTGCTGCTAAAGGTTAGTGGATCATAAATAAACCAAAGCAATTTCTGTGCCTTGAGCCAGAGGGTCACGGAATACACGAAATAGCACTTTTTCCACACGGCCAGCCTGACGCGAGCTGACAGGGGGGCGTGAGGAAGTGGTGGGCTGTGCCTCTGGGAGGCCCGCAGGGACTCGGCCGCTGAACTTGTCCGTCTCAGGCCTGGATTCTCCCTCCCGTGTGACGGGCCGTGTGTAATCTAAGTGGCTGCCTCCGCCGGGCCGTCCGGAGGGCACGCGTGTGAACTAGAGCATCTCCCGTCCCCCCGGCCCCGGCCCGTTCCCCCGGGGCCACCGTGACCTACATGGAGCGCGCGGGCGCTGATGCGGACACGGGCGGGGGAAGGAGGCGGCGTTCATTCTTCGTTCTCATCCGTTTGAACAGTTTCGGGACAGAGCGTAGCTGTGGAAAGATTCATAGTTTAACCCGTTTCATTTTCTTTTTTTAAAAGATATATTTTTATGGATTTCAGAGAGGAAGGGAGAGGAAGAGAGAGAGAGAAACATCCATGATGAGAGAGAATCGTGGACCGGCTGCCTCCTGCACGCCCCCCACTGGGGATCGAGCCCACAACCCGGGCCTGTGCCCTGACTGGGACTCGAACCCTGACCTCCTGGTTCCTAGGTTGACACTCAACCACTGAGCCACCAAGGCTGGGCTAACCTGTTTCATTTTCTTTCATTTTTTTTTTTTAATCTTCACCCAAGGATATTTTTCCATTGATCTTTTATTTATTTATTTTTTTTAAAGAAAGGGTGTAAGGGAGGAAGAAGGGAGAGAGTGAGAAACATTGATGTGAGAGAGACACATCAATTGGTTGCCTCCCACTTGTGCCTCCGCAGGCTGGGGATTGAACCTGCAACTCAGGTACGTGCCCTTGACCGGGAACCGAACCTGCGGCCCTTTGGTGGGCGGGCCGTCGCTCCTACCACTGAGCCACAGGGGCCAGGGCCGGTTCATTTCCTGTTCATGCAAACGAATCGTGAGAAAGGCAGCCCTGGGAACAATGCCCTTGCTGTCCCTCCTCACCCCCCACCATGGAAGGAAATACCTCCCTCCCTGAATCCCGGGATGAATGTGACCCTCCCGTGACCCCTGTCGGACGTCCATGGCCACCTCCCTGGAGGGCTTCCCCTCCATCCCGGATGCGGGATCTCAGGAAACGCTGTGACGATGGGGCTCCGGCTACTCCGGGAGGAAGAGTGGCCGCGTGGCTCAATGGTTAGAGCGTCTGCCCGGGAACCCAGGGGTCATGGGTTCGATTCCAGGTCAAGAGCATGTACCTCCGTTCGCAGGGTCCCCACGTGCGGGAGGCAACCAATCCATGTGTCGTCCCTCTCACTTGGATGTTTCTCTCCCCCTCTCCCTCTCCCTTCCTCTCTGAAATCAATAAAAACACATTTCAAAAAATAACTTCAACATGAACCCCCAGTTCACAGGGCCACGGCAGGAGCACCCCTTGCCTCGTTCCGCGGGGATTTTTAAAATCGTGTGCCTCCATCTGGGCAAATTCAGAGGAACACGCGCATCACAGACAATAAGCATTTTTCCAGGAAAAACGTATCCGACTGTTTAAAAAAGTGTCTCCGTGGAGGAGCCCGGATACGCCTAATCCGAAACACACCCGCCGGGGTTTTATGGCTTTTTCCTGGGAAACAATCAGAGGTGACTTCGGGGCTCTAGCCCGCGCCATTACGGGCCGAGGGTTCCTGTCGTTTTTTGAGAATACCGACGGCATCCGTCCCATGTTCCAGGCTCCGTTCAGAACGCAGCCGACCACCCAGAGTCCCCCCCAACGCCCTCCAGCTCCTCCACCTCCTTCTCCGCGGACGGGGTGATCTGCAAACCTGGCTATTCCTGGAAGGTCTTGCGCACGCGTTCCCGGCTTCATCGGTCCCACCGGCGGCTGCTCTCCGACATCAGGAGGCCGTGTGGCTTCTCACGCAGCCCGTGCGGAACGATGTGTGTGACACGAGCTTTTAGGAAACCCCGACTCTATAGTAAAATGAATGTCTGCACGATGAGGATGGCAGAAGAAGGGTGAGAAACAGTAGGTTTAAAAAAAATGTATCACAGCCCTAACCGGTGTGGCTCAGTGGATAGCACACCGACCTGCGGACTGAAGGGTCCCAGCTTCGCTTCCGGTCAAGGGCATGGACCTTGGTTGCGGGCACATCCCCGGTGGGGGGCGTGCAGGAGGCAGCTGATCCATGTTTCTAACCCTCCCTCTCCCTTCCTCTCTGTAAAAAATCAATAAAATATATATGTTTTTTAAAATGTGTCACAAAATACCATCTGTAGGAATTTTTAAAAAAAGAATTCAGGATGTGAAAAGTAGTTACGGTAACTGCCTAGGGTTTGAGGCTACGCGGCCGTTCTAACGTTAACGAGGTTAGCAGAGCTGGAGAACGTTAACTAGAGCGGCAGCTCTTGCCTGAACGCGTCCTCCTCGGGGCTTTAATTTTACACAAAGTACCGTCGTCGGGGGATATGGAAAGTTTACACACATGTTCGATATTGAGTCCCGACACTCATGACACAGATGTTGGTTCCCTCCGGCAAAACCTCCTTTGTAAGAATTTTTTAAAAAAAAAATATTTAAAAAGAATAAATCTTTATTGATTTTAGAGGGAGAGGGAGAGAGAGATAGAAACATCAATGCGAGACAAATATCAGGGATCGGCCGGCTGCCTCCTGCACGCCCAACTACTTGGATGCCTCGTTTGTTTTTGTTTGTTTGTTTTACTAAAATCATTTTCGAGAGGATATTCCCCCCAAAAAAACATACCGTGAGAACGACCTTTAGAAATACCCTAAGTGAATGTATTCTCCAGGCTCCTCTCGCCGACACCTCTTGGCTGTCATTAACTTCAGGTGCATCCGCGTCTACAGAGCTGGCGGCTTCGCTGGCCTGTTCTCGCTCCCGGTTTGCCTCTCGGTGCAGCTGGCGGGAGACACTGCGGTCACCTGAGCTCCGGAGATTGGGCCTCAAACTGCGTTTCTTCCCTTTTTTAAAAATATATATATTTTTACTGATGTCAGAGAGGAAGGGAGAAGGAGAGAGAGGTAGAAACATCCATGATGAGAGAGAATCGTGGACCGGCTGCCTCCTGCACGCCCCCCACTGGGGATCGAGCCCACAACCCGGGCCTGTGCCCTGACCGGGACTCGAACCCTGACCTCCTGGTTCCTAGGTCGACGCTCAACCCCTGAGCCACGCCGGCCGGGCTGGGGGTACAATTTTTGTAAAGCTCTACGGTTGCTAAAGATTTCTTACAGGAATGGACGGTAAACGTTTCAGACTAGATGTGCATCCATGGCCGTGGGTCTGGAGTAACTTTAAGAGAAATAATGGGAAAACGTATACACGGCATTCTGAGAAATACAAAACAGATGTCTCCCAAAATGCAGGGTATTTATATACTTGTAAATAGTATATTTTTCCATAACGTGACATTTCTTATTTAGGACAGTGTGTGTGTGTGTGTGTGTGTGAGTGTGTGTGTGTGTCCGTGGGCGGGTGGAGCTGGCAGAGGGAGAACACATTTTATTCCATGTTCTACCCTTGAAACCCCATAAAACGAGTCTTTTTAAAATATATGTATTTGTATTGACTTCAGAGAGGAAGGGAGAGGGAGAGAGAGAGAGAAACATCCATGATGAGAGAGAATCACGGACCGGCCGCCTCCTGCACGCCCCGCACTGGGGATGGAGCCCTCAACCCGGGCCTGTGCCCTGACCGGGAATCGAACCCTGACCTCCTGGTTCATACGTTGATGCTCCACCACTGAGCCACGCCGGCCAGGCCCCTGTTCTAATTTTTTTAAATCTCTTTTTCTGTTTGTTTGTTTGTTTGTAAAATGCATTTAAGAACCGAGAACTCGGCAGTCCCCCCAGCTCAGCGTCACCACTGGTGCCATGTGGTCTCTCCAGCCAGACCTCTCCTCCCAGGTCCCCAAAGCCCCCCCCCCCCGCCCCCGCCCCGCAAATTCATTTGATCTCAATCTGTCACAACACATAACCCTCCATCCTGGTCCCTTTGAAGAGCCCGGAGGCTTAATGGCTTTTCCCTTTGTTCTTCTGCCCCAGACGAGTTGAATGCTTTTTATTTTGTAACAAATAAAACTTTTTATCTCGTTCTTAAACCTCTGGGTACATCCTCCTCCTCCTCCTCCTCCTCCTCCTCCTCCTCCTCCTCCTCCTCCTCCTCCATCCCCTCCACCTCCTCCATCCCCTCCTCATCCTCCCCCTCCTTTCTTTCCAAAAGCAGCTCAGTCACTTTCCAATATCTGCGATGAAGAAGAATAGATCAGAACCTGGAAACAGAAGGAAATATTCCCTGTGGAAACGTACGGCCGACCGAGAACTATATTTTCTCAGCAGATCCTTCCCTAGAGCAGTGGTTCTCAACCTTGGCTGCCCATGAGAATCCCCTGGGAATCTTTTTAAAATCCCGATTTCTGGGCCTCATCCTCCGGAAATTCTGTTTCTTTGTGATGGGGTGGGGCCGCAACATTAGTAACGAAGAGACAATTTCCGGAGGAGGAGGCCCAGAAATCAGGATTTTTAAAAAAGATTCCCAGGTGATTCTAATGTGCAGCCACGGTTGAGAGCCACGGTCCTAGTGCCGTGGTCGGCAAACTGCGGCTCGCGAGCCACAGGCGGCTCTTTGGCCCCTTGAGTGTGGCTCTTCCTAAGCCTTAGCAGGACCCTAATTAAGTGAATAACAATGTACCTACCGATATAGTTTAAGTTTAAAACATTTGGCTCTCAGAAGAAATTTCAGTCGCTGTCCTGTTGGTATTTGGCTCTGTTGACGAATGAGCGTGCCGACCACTGGCCTGGTGGGATTGCTAGCCTAACCGTGTACAAGAGCCCAAGGCTAGCAGGTCCACGGGAGACTTAACTGGCAACACGTGGGGAGCGGGACTTGCCAGCACCGATTGCTAATTCGGACAGGCAGGTCAGTTAACTATTCCACTCGTTTGCATTTAGCCCTTGATGGCTTCCCCTCTTGCCTTCTACCCAATCTGTAGACTCCAACACATCGAGACACGGATCCTTGAAATATAAATCTACTCTAAGTGTGTGGAACGCCTGACTGATTTAGGGAGACGCATTTTATAGGCCGGCCCGGACAGCGACGAACACCTCGGCACGAACGGTGCGTCTCTGAACGCAGCGTGAAAACCTTCGGGTCTTTGGGAAAAAAAGCGCCTTATACAGCCCAATGCAGTGGGGCCTTGACTTACGAGTGTCCCGACTAACGAGTTTTTCCGAGGTACGAGCCGTCTCTCGGCGATTTTTTTTGCTTTGAGTTGACAGAGTAATTTGAGTTAACGAGCTCCTTAACGAGCTCCCTCACGGAACAAGTTAAACTCTTAAGTGAAGGCCCCGCTGTATTCTTTATGGTCGCTTATTCGTGCCTCTAACTAACCTAACTGCCCTTACTCCATCCACAAACCTCAAGACTCAGACATTCCTATTCTTGCCCGGCCGGCGTGGCTCAGTGGTTGAGCGTCCACCTATGAACCAGGAGGTCAGGGTTCGATTCCCGGTCAGGGCACAGGCCCGGGTTGTGGGCTCGATCCCCAGTGGATGGCGTGCAGGAGGCAGCCGACCCATGATCCTCTCTCATCATGGATGTTCCTCTCTCTCCCTCTCCCTTGATTATCTATTTAATCAATAAAAATATATTAACAACAACAACAACACACAAGCAAACACGTGGAGGGGATCTGGCAGAAGAAAAGACTCAAATTCACAGCCTGGTTTAAATGATTCAGTGAATAGAAACCAGCGCGATCAGCTTACCCCGCAAACCAGGGTTAAAAGATCACCGGCTCCATTTTTCTAGCGACAGAGAGACGCAAGGGCCAGCAGGGTAGCAGGCGCTTTTAGCTGGGACGTCCTGACAGGTTACAACACGGGGCCCCATCAGGTGACACGTGTTCTGACGGGGCGGCCACGGAAGGCTGTAATTTACATGCCATCGAAGACACGTGAGCTCCGGCGTGGAGACAGGAACCCTGTGGAGATGTCTGGGTTGGCGGCCGCGGGCAGATGAAATGGCCCCTTTGATCCAGCCCGTGGGGGGGGGTGGGGAGGCTGCTGCCCCGAAGGGGAGTGGCTCTGCGCTCCCGTCTGAAGCTAGCAAGGCTCCGTTTCCCATCTGAGGGCGTGGTGACCGCCACATGAAGAGCAGGGAGTGTTCTATCAGCACCGCGGGCTCTCACCCCCGCCCCCCCAATTTTAGGCGGCTCTGTGCTGACGTCCTGCTCCAAGCCTGTGCCCGAGATACACACACACACACACACACACACATCTGGGTCTAAAGGGGTGAGACGTCAGCTTCCAACGCCCCCCTCTGGGCAGCTTCGTGGCATTTGTGGCTTCGACGGGAAGAACACGGTGGTTTTCTCTTGGATTCATTTTTCTTCTTGAAGAAGAGGGTCGTAGTTTGTGTATAAGACTCGGCAGGACACACACACACACACACACACACACACACACACACGTTTGACGTCTGGTAGGAAGGAACCTCTATGGCTAATCATCTGGAATATAACGCATGACACACAGCCCTGGCTGGTTTGGCTCAGTGGATAGAGCATCAGCCTGCGGACTGGGGGGGGGGGGGGGTCCTGGGTTCGATTCCAGGTCAGGGGCACCTGCCTGGGTTGCAGGCTCGATCCCCAGTGTGGGGTGTGCAGGAGGCAGTCGATCCATGATTCTCTCTCATCACTGATGTTTCTCTCTCCCTCCCTCCCTCTCTCTCCCCCTCTCCCTCTCTCTTCCTCTCTGAGATCAATAACAATATATTTAAAAAATATAAAGGACATCTGTCAGTGACAAAGGAAAGGAAGAGAGACAGGGGGGCAGGGGGAGGGGAACAGTGATCTGTGGTGGAGAGAACGAAGAATTTCCATGGAACCACGAGGAAGGACCTACCTGAGCCACATCCAGGTTTCAGACCCAATGGAGACCCTCCTCTCTGGGGTCAAAGCATCTCCCTTCAACGTCGGAGGGACGCCATCGAAGATGGAGATCCAAACGCCTCCGGGTTCCTGGGCGGATCTGCCGGTCATTTTGCCAAATCCCTGCCCGAAACGAAGGAGAGAGAAGACGTGAATCCCAGGCCGTGCTCGGCCAATGAGCTCAGACGGAGTTCTAGCCTCTAAGGCAGCGGTTCTCAACCTTCTGGCCCTTTCAATACAGTTCCTCATGCTGTGACCCAGCCATACAATTATTTTTGTTGCGACTTCATCACCGTCATGTTGCTACTGTGATGAGTCGTCATGTAAATATCTGATCTGCAGGATGGTCTTAGGCGACCCCTATGAAAGGGTCGTTCGACCGCCAAAGGGGTCGCGGCCCACAGGTTGAGAACCGCTGCTCTAATGGTAATGTTTTCCAACCGGACCATCCACAAGGGTCTGCTGGGACCCTACGGGTTCCCTTTTCCAGGGTTACCCACTGGGCCCCAGAAAACACGGTTCGGGGCCCACCCTCATCAGGACCCACGAAAGGATGACAGGCACAGGCTGGGTGGCTCCCACGATGCTAATTAATGATGAGAATTCGTTTCCACTCGGAGGCGTTTGCCTTGTGCAGAAGGTTTGAAATGACGAAAGCCTAGCGGTGCCTTGGTGAGAGTCATCTGGATTCTGTCCCCAAGCCTATGAAGTGCGTTTGCCTGGCTTCTTATCATTTAATTTCACTAAAGAGACTCACGAATCTCTCTGAATTAGACGCTGCTCTCCCCGTGTCATTCCTCGAGTCCAAGATAGCGGGCCTGTCTCCCTTTCGATGAGGCTCAGTGAGGGCAGGCCCACAGGCGCCTTTGCTGTTCCCGAATGAGTTCGAGAATCCTGGTGTTTTGTGAAAGCAATTCTGTAAGAGACACTGTTTAGATTTATGTCCGTTGACCCTCTCGGGTTCGATAGAAAGTCTTCCATCTTTGGGAATCCACTTCTATTCCTCTCTGAAAGTCGCCCTGGAACAGGCATGCCCGTCCCTAGCGGGGACCACTCTCTCTTTGTCTGCATCCCTGCCTTTGCACCCTCTCTGCGGGCCGGGCGTGGGGTGGTGGCCAAGCAGTCAGCCCTGGCTGTGAGCTCCCCAGCGCAGCCCACATGAGGCTGAGGTGCGGGGTGTGCATCCCCATAAACCACTCGCCGCTGCCCCGCCCGTGACGACGCCCTGGGCTGCTGTAGGGGAGTCTTTTTATAGGAAGCACACTCATTGGGGTTTCCCGCGGGATTCCTGCGGACGCCTTTGCTACAATAGGGTTGTGTGTTCTGTGTTTACCTCCCCCCTTTATTGGGGGGGCTGGGGGGACCCTGAGACGCGAGCAGAGGCAGCACTCGCTTCTCCCCTCAGCTCACATCCTCCCTGCGCCTTAGCCATGAGCTCAAAGAGAAAGACAGTCGCTGGCGCTGGGGGTCCTTTCGCAGCCCGGGAAAGGCTTTTAGTTGCAACGTCTACTGGGATTGGAGGCGCTGGGGTGCAGGCCCGCCTCTGTCCCCGGCCCCTGAGCTCCCCATTCTCCTCCTGGCCTTCTGTGCACGAAACCCATTTTTCATGAAAAAAAAAAAAACGGGGGGCCCTGGTGTCTTTGTCTCCCAGGCATGTGCTGGCAGGACCTGGGCTGTCAGGGCACCAGGGGGAGGGGGAGGGAGGGCCCTGGCAGCCGCCCCACAGCTTTGCGGTGCCCCTCGGCAGTATGGGGGGGCCCTAGAGAGGGGGCCTGGATGGGGGGGTTGTCACTGAGGAGTGCCACACTCTGAGGACTGGCCCTTGTTGGTGACCAGAGAGAGGGCAGCGTCCAGGCCCCATTGCTGCTCTCGAAGGACAAAGATTTCCTGGAAACGGCTCATTTGCACAAGGGCACGGGGTACTGCTTTTTTTTTTTTTTTTCAGATCTGGGGGGGCGGGCACCCCGCTCCGGATTAGGTTACGGTCCTGTCGCGCTCAGCCTGGCCGGGGCCCAGGCGACAATTTTAATTTTCCGCCCGTGGCTTCTGGTTCCTGGGGCCCGGCTGGCAGCAGCGTTCAACATCTGCATTTTTGAATCCGGACTCTCCCCCCGCCCCCCCCTTCCCCGCCCCAGCCCGCCCGCCCCCTCTCACTATTTCACTTTGCTTCTCAAACTTCCAGATGTGCTGGCTCCTTTGTGATTCGAACGCATTCGAGCCAGTGCCCTGGCTGCCGTTTCAAAGGCGGGGAGAGAGAGAGGTAGACGGCGGACCACATGTTTCTATGGGAAAGGCTTTCTATTAGAACTAGAGGCCTGATGCACAAAATCCATGCAAGGGGCTTGGCCCTCGCAGCCCCGGCTTTCGTCCGGAAGATCTTCCGGAGGGTCATCCAGACGGTCGTTCTGCTGTTTGGTCTAATTAGCATATTAGCTCTTTTTTATATAGATCTTAGTATCGTCTTTTTAAAATATATATATATATTGATTTCAGAGAGGGAGTGGGAGAATCATGGATCGGCTGACTCCTGCATTCCCCCCATTGGGGAGCGAGCCCCCAACCCGGGCCTGTGCCCCTGACCGGGAATCGAACCCTGACCTCCTGGTTCACAGGTCGAGGCTCAACCACTGAGCCCCGCCGGCCGGGCTCATTACTGTGTGTTATGTTAGCTACTGTTTGAGCGGCTTCTGGAAACATTCCTGGGGGGTCTTCCAGAGTCCAACCTTTATACGGGGATCTGTTCGTTCACTGTTGTGTCCGACGGACAAACATCTCCAGTTCTGTTCTGTCCGAGCCGAGGAATGCGAGCAGGACCTGCTGGATTTTTTTTATTTTTTGTTTCATTTCTGTCTTTTTTTCTTTTTCTTGTTCTGGGAGAGATCAGAAGCTGGCGGCGGGGTGAGGCAGCCACGCGTTTTCCCCGGCTGCCGCCACTGCGCCCAGGAAGGACGCGAGGGTCCGCACGAGAGAGTGGAAAAAGTCTCCGATTTATTTCAAGAAAAACCTGTTTCCCATCATTCACGACAGGAAGCGGGGCCAACAGACGGCCGCTGACAAATGAAAGTGAAAGGGTCACATCCCCTCGGCGGCGAGCAGGGAACAAAGGCGCCTTGTGTGGGGGTCCCAGGCCCGGCGCCGGCCCAGGCCTCCTTGCAAGGTCCCCACAAACCTCGGGGAACCTTGGGAAACCTCGGGGAACGGGAGCCTCCAGGCCCCGGGTCTGGGCGGCTTCTGACCAGCGGAGCCTCCACAGGCCTGCGGGATGGGACCCCCACCCCCCCATGAATGTGACCTGGGGCTGTGCATTGGCAGACAGTCCTTACCTCCTGGAATATCAATTTCCCCGACGATCCAGGAAACACGGAAAAAAGGACAATCTTTTCTTTATTAAAAAATGAGGGTGAGATCTTTGTCGAAGGCCACCCTTGCTGCACACACACTTCCGGAAGTGAGAATAGCAGAGGGTGACGTGTGCGTGCATGTGTGTGTGTGTGTGTGTGTGTGTGTGTGTGTGTGTGTGTGTGTGTTTTGCTGTTTTTGGGGGGTGGGGGGTGGGGGGAGTATATTCATGAGATCATAGGCACATGGTGCAAGTCCTTCATGAGACGGATGCAGAGGGCCCCTGGGCCCCTGGGCCCACTTGTGCACAACGCCCCAGACGGAGCGGAAAGGAACGCGTCTGGAGCCTCCCGTTGCATCACGGACAGGGGACCGTCCGACCTTGGGTCTGACCTTGAGAGCAACCAGCTGATGGGATCCGGGGTCCCTCTCCTTCGAGCTCCGTCGAGCTCCGTCTGGATCGGGAGCCCTCTGCGTGCGTTTCTCTTTTCACAGAGCGAGCTGCTTAACTGGCAGTTCCTTTTTAGGGATGAATGGCTTGAGCCTCAGAGCGAAAAAAAGTTCTTTATGTCTATTTTAAAGGTGACTTGCCAGGAACTGGGAAACGTAAAACGAAGAGGTGTCGAGCGTTTATTTCTGGGTTTTGTAGGATGAATGGGCGCGTAAGGAAGGAGGGCAGAAGTAAGGAGATGTTGGTTTTATGATGCACTAAATTAAGGGATGAGATCGGAGGAGTTGGGTGCGATAAAAAGACACCTGCGTGGCCTCCCACGGCGCCACGCAGTCACACCTAAATGCTGAACCAAGGAGAAGGGCAGTGTACACGTCCACATCGCTGACCCACTTAATGAAAGCCAAGTCTCTCTCTCTCTCTCCCCCCCCCCCCCCCCCCATCTCTCTTTAGCTAAATCTGCAGGAGACACACGTGGAAGGCAGAGGAGTCATATATACTCAGAGCTGATTAGGTTCCATCACAAACGCTACGTTGCTTCCTATGGGATACACGCATACACAGATGAGGGCACGCACACAGGAAGCGCCCCAGCTCCGGGATCCGGTATTTGTTGGGGACGTCGGAACCCACCAAGTGAATTTACGAAAACCGTTCCAGGGGAACAGTGGCCCAAGCGAGGCTTGTCCATTACAGGTGCAGGTAAGACGTCATCTGAGGTGTAGAATTTTAGTGAGTCCACCGAGGAGTCAGGAAGGTCTGCCAAGGCCTCACGGGATGAGATTTCACGCGTCCCGATGCGGATTGCTGCTGACTAGAGAGGATGGACGACAGATGTTGATGACTGGGATTATAGCGATCATTCAGAGTCGTGTTTTTGTTTTTTTTTTGTGAAAAAGAAAGACATGGTGATGAATCCTAAATTACAAAAAAATAAATAAAAATGTCGCAACCGCTCTCTTTGGTTAGATCCTTACGGATAGAAAAATCAATCCCAGCAGATTGAGTCCTATAATTATACCGTTTACAAAGTAATGCTGTGGGAAACGTAAAGCCTTTTTCTAAAAATATTAGGCAGGGATTCTTGGAAGACGGGCAAGTACCAACGACCCCTTTTTAAGTATTAAACCTCAGTTCTTGTGGAAACCATGAAGATCGACACATTTAAAAATAATCATTTCCACAGGCAGGTTTGCCGTGATGTTTGAAGTTGGTCTCTAGACGGTTTGCCATCAAGATTGTGCAGATTCTATGAGTGACGTTGTCCAGAGAAATGACCCCAGGGACACCCAGATCTGGCTGGGTTTATTGCTCAGCTAAGTTACGCTGAGTG